GATGGCCATGATAGAGAATGGTTTGTGAATGTCCTGAGCAGGTACAGTTTTTCTCTGTAGCTTTGGAGCCTATCCTGGAACTAGCTCTTGTAGACCAGGCTAAGACTCATATTTTAAACAAGTACTTTAGCCTTGAACTACAACCACAACTTCCTTCCCTGGGATTTAAGAAAAGGATTTTATTTATTTATTTTATTATTGTTGTTGTTGTTTTAAGACAAGGTCTCAATATATAGCTCTGGCTGTCCTGAAACTCAGAGCTAGCTTCAAACTTAGGGATCTGCTGCCTCTACCTTCCAGTGCTGGGATCTAAGGTGTGTGCCACCACATCCAGCCTAAAAGATTTAAATTTTGTTTTGTTTTTGATTTTTGAGATAGGCTTTCTCTGTAGCTTTGGGGGCCTGTCCTGGAACTAGCTCTTGTAGACCAGGCTGGTCTCGAGCTCACAAGAGATCCACCTGCCTAGGCCTCCCAAGTGCTGTGATTAAAGGTGTGCACCACTACTGCCCAGCTAAGATTTAAAAATTTTTATATGTATGTGTGGGTATCTAGCACGTGTATTCAGGCATACTACTGGATACTAGAAAAGGGCATGTGCAGGTGCTCTTGGAGGCCAGAAGAGGGCTGTCAGACATGAGCTGGAGTCCCAGGCTGCTGTGAGCCACCTGCTATGGGTGCTGGGAACTGAACAAGGGGTCCCCGGAAGAGCGGAAATGCATCCCTGTATCCCACCTTATTATATTCGTTCCTGAGAGGGAGAGACAGAGAGGGAGGGACAGTTAGTAAGAGGTATGTGCACAGGTCAGAAGACAGGTTGAGGGAGTCAAGTTTCTCCTTTCACCACGTGGGACTAGAGCGTTGAACTCAGGTAGTCGGGCCTAGCACTCACCATCGTCTTCCCTGAGATTTTGAAGAGGTTTTCCTTTCTTCCTTTATCACTTTGTAGCTCTGGTAAGGCAACTGCTTTCTTGTTCTGCTGAAAAGGATTATTCCATCATCTCTCATCCTGGTTTATTGTCTCTCATTTTTTACTTGTGATTAAATCCTTACTTTGAGCATGTCTTGGCGTTTTAGCTAAAATTAATTGAAGCTCTTACTTTGGCTACTGCAGACATGTGACCCTAAATAAGACGAAGGCAAGAGGATAGTATTCTTGTCTGACAGGATCCTTCTCCTGTGAGGATTTGCTTGTTCAAGTGAATCCCCACTCTGGGAGCTAAACTCCTCATTCCAGGTGCGGGTATCTTTCTGGGTCAGTTTTACTAATCAGCTCTTTTTTTCCCTGGTTTTTCAAGACAGGGTTTCTCTGTGTAGTTGTAGAAACTGCCCTGGAACTCGCTCTGTAGACCCAGGCCGGCCTCGAACTCAGAGATCTGCCTGCCTCTGCTTCCTGAGTGCTGAGATTAAAGGCCTGCACCACCACTGCCCAGTCTTACTAAACAGCTCCAACTTCATTAATTTAGACAATAAAAAAAAATCTTTGATGTATTTTAAGCTGGGTGTGTGGTTCAGTTTGTAGATTGCTTGGCTAGTATGGCAAGCTCTGGGCTCAATCCCCAGAACTGCATAAACAGTTAAGAAACAGTCCTGTAAGCCTAGCGTTTGGCAGGAAGCAGGAAGATCAGGAGTTCAAGGTGAGTTCAATTCTAGGTGAGTTCAAGGTTAGGTTTGAGGACTTAGTTTTATGTTGCTGCCCTTTTTTCCTCCCTTTGAGCCACTCAGCACTGGTGTACCTCAGGGTTTAAATGTTATTCTCCAAGCTACAGTCTGCCTTCACTTCCTTGGTCATCTTGTCCAAGACCACGAGTTTAAACATTAGTGACAGACACCCTGAGATTTTGCATTTCTAGCAATGACCTTAACATCCTGAATTCCAAATTAATGTACCCAACTGTCAACTCTGTATCTCAGTTTTTTCTGCAGCATAAAAAGTTGAGCTAGAGAACTGGTTGTGTATGTCTTTACACTGTTAATCCCGCAGAGCAAGGATAAGAACACTACCACAATTTTCTGAGCCAAATTTGAAACAAGTTTTATTAAGTACTGGCCAGGACTGTGGATACTGACCAGCTTCATACCCGGGGTTCCCAGAGAATGGTTGCAAATTAAGTTAGTCCAGTGCTTTTAAAGGCAAAAACCCACAAGGCTATGTACTTCCCACCTTCGTTCACTTGGGGGCAAGCACACAGCCTAATGTTCTTTCTGTATTCATACCTCTTGCCTAAGTGTGCATATCCTGTGCAGCTGGGGCCACCAACCTTGTTTGCAGAAGTGAAAGCATGTGGCTTATTGTCTTACATGAGCAATAGCCCCTAGCATTCCATGAAGTTACCTGTCTGGGCAAGTGGGGCTTATAGCTTAGAGGTATTTTTGTTTTATAGATCTCTTGAGCACAGGCATTTAGCCCTCACTTTCCCCCCTCGAGTTGTATCCTGAGTAAAATCCTTGATTCTGTGTAGTTATCTGTTTATAGTGGGATCTAATAACCATCAGCTTAGTGGCACCCAGACAGGAATTTATGAATCTAGTTAAGGCATTAATGACGCAAGGGCCAATTGATTGAGCAGAAACAGAAGGGCCAGAGGTCCTGTGGTGGCTGACATCAGAGTGATTATGAGAATGGGAACTAGTCATTTATTTCACCCCAGGTCCCCTTTTCTTCTGCAATGTTTTTTTAGTATAGCCAAATTTATCTCTCATGATTCCTGAGTGGTTTTGTATAGAAACAATTTAAAAAGGAAGAAAGAATTTTCTCCTGAAGCCACATAATAACCTCCCTGTTCTACAAAGAACAGGTGAAGTACCCTATCATGTTGTAGAACTACCTCAGCTAACAAATCTACCTGCTGATAGATCTGGATCTATTTGGTATTAATAAATACCTTATCCTGGTATGCTAATAGGCACTATAAAGTAGCCATTTTGTCCCTATGCCAGTGAGTTTTCTTTTGACCTAAGATTCCACCTTTTTTTTTTTTTTTTTTTTTTTTTTGTTTTTT